CTCTTGGCATAATTCCTTGGTGATCCATATAAGTTACTGCATGTATCAACAGTTTGTTTCTTCTTACCACATTCTGCAGCCTATCTTCTCATCTCTGGGATAACTAACATATTACTATAGAAGTAATCTAACAGATTACTTCCCAGAGGAAAGTTCTTAATTTTGAAATTCAATTTACCACATTTTTTTATTTTAGGGACTGTGCTTTGATGTCAAGTCTAAAATCTCTTTGCCTAACCTAGAGCCCAAAGATTTTCTCCTATGTTTTTCTTAAAATTTTTATAGTTCTATGTTTCATATTTCAGTATGTGATACATGCTGAGCAAATTTTTATATAAATGTGAGACTTAGGTTAGGTTTTTTGTTTTGTTTTGTTTTTTATGTTTTTATCTTTTTGCCTTAGATGTCCAATTTCACCAGCACCGTTTGTTGAAAAGGCTATCTCTCTCCTCTCTTGCATTGCTTTTGCACCTTTGTCAAAATTCAGTTGGGCTTACTTGTAGGGATCTATTTCTGGGTTCTCTCTTCTGTTCCATTGATTTACATGTCTATCTGCTCTCTAATTGTGCACTATCATAACTATTGTAGCTATAAAATAAGTCTTGAAATTGAGTACACTAATTCCTACCACTTTATTCTTCTTTTTCAAAATGTCTAAGCTAGTATGGATCCTGTGCCTTTCCATATAAAATTTAGAATAAGCTTGTCTATGTCTTGCTGGGATTTTGATATGAATTACATGAAACACATATCAACTTGGAGACAAGTGAAATCTTTCCTGCGTTGTCTTCCAATTCATGAATATAATTATAGCTCTCCATTTATTTAAATCTTCTTTGATTTCATTCACCAGCATTTTGTAGTTGGTAGGATACAAGAGTCACTCATATTTTATTAGATTTACACATAAATATTTTGTTTTTATTGTTGAGAGATTATAAATGGTACTGTATGTTTAATTTTGGTGTACACATGTTTACTGGTAGTATATAAATATACAATTAATTCCAACATGTTTACCATGCCTCCTCCTACCTTGATGAACTCAATTATTTGTGCTAGGAGTTTTGGGTAGATTTCTCAGGATATTCTGTACAGTAAATTATGTCATTTATAAATAAAGACCATTTTATTTTCTTCCTTTCTAATCTGGACACTTTATATTTCCTTTCATTGCTTTACAGTAGTGGCTAGAACTTGTAGAATTTTGCAGATGCTCTTTATCAAGTTCAAGAAATTTTCATCTATTCCTACTTTTTTGAGAGTTTTATCATGAGTGATTGTTGAGTTTTTGTCAAGTGCTTTATCTTCCTCAATCAATATGATCATGTGATTGTTCATCTTTAGCCTGTTAATATGATGGATCTATTGTGGAAGGGTGTCAACTCTCCCCAAATTGATAAGCAGGTATCACACAATTCCTATCAAAATCTGAGTAAGATATGGACAAACTTTAGTTTTCAAACATCAAAACCTGCACCCTGGAATAAACCCTACTCTGCCATGGTATATAATTCTTTCCATATATCACTGAGCTTTCTATATATCACAGACCAAGGGATAATGGTCTGTAGTTTTCCTTTTTCTACTGTCTTCTCTGTTCATAAAATGAAGTAAAAGTGTTCTGTCCTCCTTTAATGCCTGGAATATTGCATACAATTTGTGTTAATTATTTTTTTAAACATTGATAGAATTTTCCAATGCAATCATCTAGGCTTGGAGGTTTCTTTTTGGGGAGTTTTAAAATTATGACCTCAATTCTATTAATAACTATAGAGTTATTCAAATTATCTACTGAGTATTGAGTGAGTTGTAGTATTTTATATTTTTTAAAGAAGAGGTTAATTCCATCTAAGCTGTCAAATTTAAGTGGTTTGTGCCTGTACTTCTGGCTACTTGAGAGGCTGAGGTGGGAGGATCACTTGAGCCCAGGAATTCAAGGTGCCCATCTCTTAAAAATAAATAAATAAAATAAATAGAGTTTTTAAAAATGTTGTTAAATTTATGTGCATACAGTTGTTCATAGTATTTCTTTACTAACCTTTAGATATATGCAAGGTTTGTAGTAATACCTTCTGTTTCATTCCTGACATTAGTATTTTATATCTTCCTTCTTTTAATCTTTGTCAGTCTTTGTAGAAGTTGTCAATTTTATTGGTCCTTTCAAAGAACCAGTTTTTTGTTTCATTGATTTTTCTCTATTGGCTTTCTGCTTTTAATTTCACTGATTTCTATTCTTACCTTGGTAAATTCCTTTCTTTTGTTTGTATCTGTTTTATTTTGCTCTTCTTTTTATAGATTCTTGAAATAGGAGCTTATCTTATTGACATGGGACTCTTCCTCTTTTCTAATGTTTGCTTTTAGTGCTAAAAATGTCCCTCTCAGCACTGCTTTGTCCCACAAATTTTGATATGTTGTATTTTTATCTTCATTTAGTTCAATGTATTTTTTACATCCCTTGAGACTTCCTCTTTTATCTATGAATTATTTACAAGTGTGTTCTTTAGTTTCATAGTGTTTGGAAATTATTCCTGCTATTGTTTTGCTCTTGATTTCTAGTTTGATCCATTGTGGTCAGAGAACACACTTTTTTTCATGACCCCCCTTTTTTTCATGAAGCAGTAGAGAAATTTATTGATGAGTTTGACAAAATTATTGCTAGTAAAAATCTAATGCCAGAATGAATGTACAATGCAAAAGAAACATCACTGTTTAGATGTTAATTGTCCCAAAAAGACACTGATTACAGTTGATGAAAAGAAAAAAAAAAAAGAATCTATTTTAAAGATATACCTCCAACAATGTGGGGAGGAAAAAACATTTTCACAAGGTTATTTAAAACTGCAATGTGTTGGAAGCAATTTAAATGCCCTTACGTAGGATAGTGGCTGGACAAACAGTACATCCAAGCAATAGAGGGCTATGCAGCTGTAAAATGGAGGAGAAAGATTTCTATGGATTGGTCTATGATTTCTAGAATATACTGTTAAGTGATAAAAACAAAATGCAAAAAGAAAAATAAATCTATAATATGCATCCTTTGTGTAAGAAAGAGGAGGATATAAGAAAATATACATGCATCTGCTCATTTGTGCAAAGGAGATACAGGAAAGGTACTTTAGGAATGGAAGAGACAGCTTTCCTAGGGAGAGTGGGCGGAGAAGAGGGTCTGAGGGCAGGTATGAAGAGGGAGAGTACAGCAGTTCTAAGTAGTAGCAGCATGGTAATGTTGCTACGTTTGCTGCATACCAAAAAACAAGAGAAAAGTCTAAATTAACCAGGATGTCAGAGGAGGGGACCTCAAACCGAATACAAACATTAACAAATGAAACTAACTATGCCATCAATGAATAACCTAGCCACACTGAAGAAAAGAACTTTGGAAAATACCATTTTAACTAGAAACTCTAAGGCTAAAGACTAAAAGAACTATATACAAATTGTACTCCAGCTAGTAAATCTGTCTCTCACAGAGTCAGCAATTTTGAAACTACTTTATTGGCATTGAATAAATAAGTAAATATATTGTAAAAAATAAAAATCAAAAACAGAGAATACCCTCTATGAATTCAATTCCTTTAAATTTCTTTAAAGTTTTTCTTAAATGGTCTATATTGGTATATGTTTTGTGGGCACTTGAAACAAATGGGCATTCTGTTATGAAATGTGGATTACATCTTATTGGGTGATGGTGTTGTTGAGTTCTATTTTCTTGCTAATTTTCTGTCGAATTGTTCTATTGGTTGTTGAGATAGGAGCATTGAAGTTTGCAACTGTAATTATAGATGGGAGTATTTCTTTCTTCAGTTATATCAGGTTTTGATTCACATACTTGGCAGCTCTGTTGTCTGGTGCATACACATTTAGAATGTACTATCTTTTGGTATATTTATTCTTTTATCATAATTTTCTTTGCTCTGAAGTTGACTTTATCAAATATTAATGTCACTCCTGCTTTCTTTTGATTGTTTTCAAGATCTTTTTCTAGCCTTTCATTTTCAACCTGCCAATTTCATTATATTTGAAATGAGTTTCTTGTAGACAACACATAGACGAGTCATGTTTTTTAATCCATTCTGCGAATCTTTATACTTTTTCACATGTTAGGAATTAAGTCTACGATATTTGGGGTTGTTTTTCCCCTCTCTCTTTCTCTCTCTCCTGCTTTCCCGTAGGTTACTAGAACGTTTTTTTTAAATTCTATTTTGATTTAGCTATGGTTTTTTTTACTATAAGCAACCAAAATGTTTATCAATAGAAAAATGGAAAAATAAATTGCAATATATTCACACAATGAAAATACTACACAGCTACATGCAAAAATGTAGGTAAACATCAATAACAAGATAGACCTAAAAAGTAATATATTACATTTAGTGTTTATATAACGGGTATAGTTTTTATATAAAATATAATATTTACATGCAACTTATAATACCCTGTAATTTTGTATTTCTTATGGATATATACATAGATAATAATATTATAAAAACACATACTAGACTGGTAAATACAAATTTAGGGTAGCGGTTACTTCCAGAGAGAGAGTAAAGTAGGAGTATGGAACCAGGGAAAGAATCACAGGGACTTCAACTGTATTTGACATGCTTTTTTTAATTTCAAAATATTATGGGGGTACAAATGTTTTGGTCACATGGATTGCTTTTCTACTACTTGAGACAAAGTCATAAGTGTGCCCATCACCCAGATAGCATCTGCAGTCCCCAAGCCCCAGGCTGTGGACCTGTACTGGTCTGTGGCCTGTTAGGGACCAGACTGTAGAGCGCTGCCCCCCCCCATCTGTGGAAACATTGTCTTCCATGAAAGGAGCAGGAGAGGGGGCGGGGCTGGAGGGGGTATACAGCAAGAGGTGAGTGTTGTGCAAGAGCACAGCTTCATCTGTATTTACAGCCTCTCCCAATCACTGAAATCACCACCTGAGCTTGGCTTCTACCCTTCCCCTTCTTTCCCCCCTATCTCCCTCAACCATCAATCCCCCCCATCTCTAGCCACCTCCACCCTTGGAAAAATTGTCTTCCATGAAACCAGTACCTGGTGCCAAAAAGGTTGAGGACCGCTGGATATTGTACCTTTAGGTATATGATTTCACCCTTCCCTGCCTCCCAACCACACCTATTTTGAGTGTTTTTGACTATCTCTTTATATAGCTTCTATATCTTTCGGCAGTCACTCTAGGTATTACATTATATAGAGAGATCAATTGTCCAAAACAATTATAAACGGGGCTGTCTTGTAACCGTCCACTAATGTTTACCAGTTTAAATGAAGTGTAGAGACCTTTCTTCCCATCATATCTCTTTCCCCTGCCCCATCTATAATTGTCCTAGATATTCCCTATACATACATTTAGAACTACATCAGTGTCTAAATTTTTGCTTAAACCTTCAAACATAATTTAGAAAATTCAAGAGGTGAAAGAAAATCTATTGTATTTGCCCATATTTTTGCATACCAGGTTCTTTATTTCCTTCTTATGTTTCGGATCTCTTCTTTTATACTTTTCTTTCTATTAGAGAGTTTCCCTTAGCCATTCTTTCAGGCTAGGTCTGCTAATGGCAAATTCCCTTAGTTTTCCTTCATCTGAGGGTATTTACATTTTCCTTTCATTCCAGAAGGATATTTCATGGGCTATAGGGTTCTGTGTTAATTCTTTTCTTTCAGCACTTGAGAAATAATGTGCTGCTTCCATCTTGGTTTCCATGATTTCTGATGAGAAAGCCACTGGCATTCAAATTGTTTTTTCTCTGTAGGTAAGGTGTCATTTCTCTCTAGTTGTTTTCAATAATTTTTTCTATGCCTTTAGTTTTCAGAAGTGTTCAGTATTATGATGTATTTGGCATGGATTTCTTTAGTTCTTTGTTCAGGATATACTAATTTTTTAGATTTCTACATGTATGTCTATTATCGGATTTGGAAAGGTTTTACCTTATTTTTTCTAGTACTTTTTAAACCTCACTCTTTTTCTTTTATCCTTCCTGGACTCCAGTAACAGGTCTGTTAGATCCCACAGGTCCCCTGAGGTTCTGTTTATCATGTTTTTTTCAGTCTATTTTCTGTCTGTTGTCCAGTTAGTGTAATTTCTTTAGTTCTATCTTGAAGTTCAGTGATACTTTTTTCTTCATTCTGCTATTGAATCCGTCCATTGAGTTGAGTATTTTTTGTTTGGGTTTTGGTTTTTTTTCTTTTTTGATTATTGTATTTTTCAGTTCTAAAATGTCCATTCAGTTCTTTTTTAGATCTTCTATTTCTTTGCTGAGACTTTCTATTTCTTTACTGAGATATTCTGCATTTTCATTTTGTTCAAGCATATCTATAATTGCTAGTTGAAGTATTTTAATTATGGCTGCTTTAAAATATTTGTCAGATAATTCTAGCATCTCTGTCATCTCTGTTGGCATCTATTGAGTATCTTTTTTCATTGAATTTGAGATATTCATAGTTCTTGGTATGATGAGTGATCTTTGTTGAAACTAACACAATTTGGGTATTATGTTGTGTGGCTCTGAACCTTACTTAAACATTCTGCTTTGGTTGGCTTCATCTAACTCTGCGTCAGTAGAGCCACCTCCTTAATGCCAGGTTAGCATAGAAGTCTAGAGTCCCCATTTGGCCTAGGTTGACCCTCTGGAAAGGAGGGAACCACTCATTACTGCTAAGAAGGAGTGGGAGTTCTGGCCCCTCAGTAGGCTTCCACTTAAAACCTCTCTGAAACGAGAAGGTAGAAAAATATTTTTGGTTTTCCTCATGGGGCCTCCACTGACACCATAGGAGGTTGAGCAAAGGAAGAAGTCCAGGTTCCCTATGCAGTCTCAGCCTGGCAGGGATGGAAGTCCTGGCTCTTTATTCAGCCTTCTCTGATGCTACCCTACCTCGGGGGTTGGAGTTTCTCATTAGAGTCTGGCAAGGGTGGAAGTTAATGCTCCCAACTTCGCTTTTGATTGATTGTAGGTGGAGTCACATTTTTTTCCACTGGTGTTTGGCTTAAGTAGAGAAGTTAATTGTCTACACGATTTTTGTCTTGGTAGGCTGTTCCTTTCTTGTTCCCTTGGCTAGAAAGAGTTGGCTTTTCTTGGGGCTTTTGTTGCCTGTGGACTATTCGTGTTTCTGGTTGCCACATTCTTCAGCTTCAAGTCCGGGATCTATAAGTCAAAAAAAAAAAAATTCTGGGACCTCACCATTGTGTTTCTTCTTGGGTCTTGAGGTGCCTACCCCGTCAGCCTTTTCCTCTCTACTTTCCAGAGTCTTTTTACATTTGTTTTATATTTAATTTCTAGGGTTTTTAGTTTTACTTAGCAGAAAAGATAGAGAAAAGTACATTTATTCCATCTTCCTGGAAGCAGAAGTCTCCAAAGTTGATTTAAAAATAAATAAATAAATTCTCTGTTCCAGAAAAGAAATCAATGCAAAGATCCCCAAGCTAAAATATTTTGACAAATATTTTAATTATGCATAATAAATGTACAACTATCCATGTAAAAATTAGAAGATTATCTACAAAGGAATAAAATAAAAATCAGGATGAATGAAGCAACAAATGGCAGAAAATCAGAAAATTCCTCAGAGTTGTTAAAAAATAGAAGAACCAAAAAAAAAAAAAAAAATTCTGGACTCAGCCAAATTGCAGTTCAGATGTAAAGACAGCACAAAAACATTCTAAGATAGGAAATGGCTAAGTCAATATATCAACCACCCATATATCATACTGTAAAACAATTTAATTAAAGATGTTACATTTATATTCTAACAAATGCAAATTAACTCAAGAATGAAAAAGTTTCAGCTATAAGATTAGCAATGAGTATTGACTCTGTGACTAAATACCTGCTTTAATTATGAATATATAGTATTCTAATTTTATAAATATCAAACTTATTGATATTGAAAATATGGTATCTTTCCACTTTTTTCCTAATTGCTCTCTAGAACTCATTTTCTATCACATTAAAACCTTCAATCCCTTCACCCACTTTCATTGTCCCCATCAACATTTCCTTTTCTTTCCAGTCCATGATCCATCACTTCAACATCTCTGCTGATATTACTTTATGTTGTCTATTAACACTTCTTTCCTTCTGTTACACCTTCCCCGTAAACCTGTCATGTTGGATCAGTCTAATTATCTGATTTGTCCTATCCTAAGTAGTGTTGGGGACAATCACACAATCATGTAGAACATAAATTCAGGACATCTAAAGTCAGTTAGACCTTCAGCATTAAAGACATTCTTGGTTTCCTTGGTTGCCTTTCTTTTTTCCATTCCCCACAGTAGCTTATCCACATCACTGGTTTTCCCACTCCTCACCCCACTACTTTTTTCTCCCTTCTTTAGAAACATTCTTGCTCATCACTCAGAAAAAGAGAAACCATGAGGCAGAAAATCTCTCAATATCTTGTCTACCCGCCAAAAAAGCTCACCTATATCCCCACCCATTCTTTTTCCTTTCCTTCCTGCCACAAGGAAGAGGCATTTCCCCTCCTATTCAAGACTCTTTTCTTCCAGTTGTGGTAGGAACCCTATTCCCTTTACCCTACACCCTTTACCCTGCACTGGCTTATGTCCACCAGTCATTTCTTCTCATTATCTGAATTATCAACCCCAGCATTTATACTTGCTAACAGGCCTATCTAAATAAAAAAAAAAAAAAAAGTTTAAAAATAAATAAAAACTTTGTTTTCACATCCTATGTGTCCACCTTATCTTCTCCCTGCTGTACCTAGATTCTTAAAAAGTTGTCTTCACTTACAGCCTCCATTCCCTAACCTTCCACTCACTCCCCAATCTACTGCAAAATGGTTTTGGTCCCCCCTCTACTGACAGCACATCTTTCCCTCTAATGACTTCTTGAATGTGCAAGCCAGTGGATACCTTTTTTTCTCCTTCTTTTACTTGGCCTCTCTTTAGCTCTCACCATTCTTGAAAACCACCTTCTTCTTGAAACATTGTTTTCACTTGGCTGCACTCATGCTGGGTTTTCCTGGTTTTTCTCTTCTTCCTCTGGCCAGTAGTCTTTAATTTGCTTTGCAACGTTCACTTTCTTGGCCCACCCCTTACATATAGGTATTCCTCATTGTGTTCAATAATAGACTATTGATAAAATAATTATAGTGTACTTACAAGAAAAAATTAGCCATTTAAATTTATGAAAAAAATTTATGAGGTAGAAAAAAGCTTTTAAGGAAATTTAAAAGATTATGAGTATCATTGCACATTTAGCACAATCTAACTTTAAATAAATGAAGATGCTCATTGCCAGTTTTCCAGTGGAGAAAGGAGATCAAGATCATCCTCCCAATATAGCTTAAGTTAGCCTACTTCTCTCTATGCTGATACTGCCTTCACCTAAAGCACTACATCTTACCTACACTATCTTCTAAATTGTTCCCTCTGCCTCTACTCTTTCTCCTTATGATTTCTTCTCCCCATAGCAGCCAGAGTGTTCTTTATAAAAACACAAGTCAAAGTACACTGCTTAAAACTTTCTAGTGTTTTTCCATTGCACTTAAAATAATATCTCTAATGTCTTTATCTTGGCTCACAGTGCTCTACATGAAAGCTCCTGTGCCCATCTCTGTGAACCATATTGTCCCTCTAGTCACTGGATTTCCTTCTAGCCTTAGAGCATGACAAATTTGTTAACACATCAAGGTCTTTGAATTTGTTACTCCTTTACCTGGATCTACCTTTTCCACAGATGTTTTCCCCTTCATTTCCACCTTCCTTCCTTCTCTTCCTTCTTTCAACCACTGTGTTGCCAACATGTAGAGGTAGAGAGGAAGATCATCAAAATCAAAGAGGTCAGAGACGTGAGGAGCCTGGATATTGTTTTTATTATCTGCCTGGATGTTAAAATTGCTAAACTAAAAGGAAAAGCAGTCAAGAGTGAGGTAAGACCCAAATGGTGACATTTTTAATAAATAAGAGAGGCCAGGAGGCTAACAGATGACAATAGGGAGAGAGAAGGTTAGTGAAGTCTCATGCCATATACATCAAAGATGGAATAAGGAAAGACATTTTAGAAGCAGAAAAAAGACAAAAGAAATACCTACCTGGCTTTCCTTCTAGCCCTAAAATATGTGGAGTAGGAAGAAGTTAGCATTTGAGAGGAGTAGGAGAAGCAAAATTCTTAGGAGAGAGCCAAGTTGGAGTTACAGCAATGGAGTGAAGGAAATTTTCTAAGGAAAAATTGAGGCTGTAAGGAAGTTGACAGATAAGAGATCATGACAAGGAGGTTTGGAGAGGGAGGCAGAGAAGGGTGGCAAATTGGATATAATTCAGATGGTTACAAAACAGCAGGAGCTGAGGCAGGTGGGGAGCTCTAAAGGTGACTGAGGATGTGAGGAATATTGGGACTGGTCTTGAGTTTGTGTATTCACTGAATGACAAGTTCAGAGAGTCATTGCTGCTGAGCATTATGGACCAAAAAATAATACAAAGAATCAATGAAACTAAGACAACAAATGCTGGCGTGGATGCGGAAAGAGAGGAACACTCCTACACTGTTGTGGGACTGCAAACTAGTTCAACCTCTGTGGAAAGCTGTGGAAAGCAATATGGAGATACCTCAAAGTGATACAAGTAGATCTACCATTTGATCCAGGAATTCCACTACTGGGCATCTACCCAAAAGATCAAAAGTCACTTTATGAAAAAGACACCTGCACTCGAATGTTTATAGCAGCACAATTCACAATTGCAAAGCTGTGGAAACAATCTAAGTGCCCACCAATTCATGAGTGGATTAATAAAATGTGGTATATGTATACCATGGAGTACTACTCAGCTTTAAGAAACAACAGTGATATAGCACCTCTTGTATATTCCTGGATACAGCTGGAACCCATTCTACTAAGTGAAGTATCTCAAGAATGGAAAAACCAGCACCACATGTACTCACCAGCAAATTGGTATTAATGGATCAACACCTAAGTAGACATATAGGAGTAACATTTATCGGGTGTCAGGAGGGTGGGAGGGTGGAGGAGGCGGTGGGTATATACAACCACAATGAGTAAGATGTGCAACGTTTGGGGGATGGACACGCTTGAAGCTCTTACTTGAGGGGGCAGGGGGCATGGGCAATACATGTAACCTTAACACTTGTACCCCCATAATATAATTTTTTTATAAAATAAAAAAATAAACAATCAATAAAATAAATAAAAGTTGGTTCTTTGAAAAGATAAACAAAATTGATAAACTGCTAGCCAGACAAACTAAAAAAATGAGAGAGAAGATCCAAATAAACATAATCAGAAATGAAAAAGGTGACATTACAACTGATACCGCATAAATACAAAAGACCAGTAGAGACAACTTATGAACAACTCTACATATACTAGCTAGAAAACCTAGAAGAAATGGATACATTCCTGGAAACATATAACCTACCAAGGTTGAACCTGGAAGAAAAAGAAATCCTGAACAGACCAATTACAAGTAGTAAGATTATCTCAGCAATAAAAAAATCTCCCAACAAGAAAAAAATGCCAGGACCAGGAGGATTCACAGGCAAATTCTACCAAACCTACAAGCCTCCTAAAACAGTTCCAGAAAATCAAGGAGGTAGGAATTCTTCTTAACTTATTCTACGAAGCCAGAATCAGCCTGATACCAAAGCCAGACAAGGACACAATTAAAAAAAAACTACAGACTAATATCTCAAATGAACATAAATGCAAAAATCCTCAAGAAAAAGCTAGCAAACTAAATCCAACAGCACATCAAAAAGATAATACACGATGATCAAGTGGGTTTTATTCCAGGGATGCAAGGAAGGTTCAACATATGCAAATCAATAAATGTACTTAATCATATAAACCAAAGTGAAAAAAAAAATATGATCAATCTCAATAGATGCAGAAAAGGCATTTGACAAAAGTTAGCATCCCTTCAAGATAAAAACCCTCAACAAACTAGGCATAGGGGGAACATACCTCAAAATGACAAAGGCCATATATGACAGCCCCACAGCCAACATCATACTGAATGAGGAAAAATTGAAAGCAATCCCCCTAAGAACTGAAACAAGACAAGAATGCCCACTTTTACCACTTCTATTCAACGTAACACTGGAAGTCCTAGCCAGAGCAATCAGGGAAGAGAAAGAAATAAAAGGCATACAAATTGGAAAACAGAAAG